GCCACCACCAAAACCAACCAAACTTAGAGAAAGGAAGAGGGGAAAAAAAACCTATACAATTGGGTGGAGAAACCGCAGAGAAAGAAAGAAAAGAAAAGAAGAATAACGATTGTAGGAGTTAATTGTTAAGTTCCATTAAGTTTCTTTTTTGAAGTTTTAAATTATTACATTTGATAAAATGAAAATAATAATTAAAGGGTATTTTAGGAATAATGGTGGGTGGAAGGATAGGATTATGTTTTTTAAAATTTATATGGTGGGTGGAAAGATAAGGTGGGTGGGGAAATAGGACAGAGGGGTGGAAATAGCAGCACTCTTTATATTATCTTACTTTTCCCAATACCTAAAGAGACCCAAATAAGTAAAATTTGGACAAAAAAATCACCAATAACACAGAAGGAAAAAAAACCCAAACACAAGCATCTCATATAAAATTATACCCAAGCTTAGCTTGAGTCTGGCAGATACCTCAGTCATGGTGGCGAAGTTGAGGTTCTGAAGCTGAGGCGAGACAACCCAAAGCAAAGATTCTATTTATAAACTTGGTTTTCATATAAGAACCCTTGAGTAAAGTCGCAATGGAGCAGACGACAGACAAATGAAGAGAAAGAGCTATATGACGACGAAGTTGGGTTGTTGATTTCAATGGAGGAGTCTCTCTTGGAGGTCTTCTTAGGTGTTCACGTGGTCCTCAGAGTCACCGTCTGACGCATTACGACGGCCAGCTTTGTGACGACGACCGCAGAATTTAAGTGGCCACTCTAGGTCAAGGGCGAAAGTTGAGGGAGGGAGCGAGATAAGGAAGATTCAGAGAGACAAGTGCTTCAGAGAATGTTTCAGAGAGTTTAGAGAGGGCGAGAGTTGAGGGAGGGAATGTTTTCGATCTTGTGCGGAAATCTGAAATTTTTTACGTCAAGGCTGAACTCATTCAGCCCAGCGTGTTTTAAAAGACGACATTTGTAATTCACAACCGTTGTGTTTTAAAAATTGAGACAACCCAATTCAATTTTAGTGGTGTATAAGGTGACATATCAATACGGTTTTGTAAACCCGTACACGACGACAGTTTTAAGCTATACCATCATCTATTTTGTGTCGTGGTTTCATGAATTTGTACATACATGGTTAAATAATCCTTCAAAAATACAATTAATAAAGATGTGGACTCTAATGAGTCTACAGGGTTGGGAACTTGGGGATAAAACTGTTTGAGACAGTTGTATACATGCAAGGTTGTATTTTGGAGATGGAATTTAAGTTTGAGTCTAAAAAAGGTGGTACATTAATGTGATCTCTTTAGCATTACGCATTTCAATTTTGGTCAATTAAAGCTCACATCCATGTGAACTCTTCATTTCTTACACTTTTAGCATGCTTGAAGAATACACGAGTCATGAAAAATTAAATAAGTGGACTATATAAAAATATCACCCATGAAATAACATTTTTATTAACTTACATGTGACCTCTCTAAGGCTCTGTACTTGAACAACTCTCTTCTTCCCCTTTATTATTATTTTTTCTTTGCTGACATCCTTCCTCTTCATGTTGGAGAAGGACCATCAGATAACATACAATTTTAAGATCATTTTCTTTTCATTTTTTATTTTTTAGCGTTCCTTTTTCTTTTGCCCCCCTATTAATCCCTTTATTGTGTTGGAACTTTTTGTATTTTACTTCATTGCTTTAATGTTTTGAAGTGTTAATTTTTTTTTAGCATTACGAGCTTTCACTATTAAGAGACATGCCCGTATTTTTAATTTTTAAAATTCAATACCACATATCGGAGGAACAATAGAAAATATGAATATAAATTATAATAATTCTCATATTCTCATAAAAAATTATAATAATCAAATATTATTATAAACTTACATAAAATTAATGTAAATCAACAAACACAAATAAATAGAAATACTAACAAACTTTAACAAACGTATACGCCTCCTAAAGGACCTCAAAATCTTAATTAAGCCTGTTAAAACAAATATTGTTAAATCATTTTCATACAAGAAGATGGTCATGTGAGGAAAGACGGTGAGGGTTTTAAGGCATGGCTTGCAAAAAAAAAAAGGTACTTAAAATGTTTGCGTTTGTATTGAATCTAACTTTGTTTTAATTCCTCCAAATTCTTGGTGATTTTACACATCATGTTATAAGCACATCACAAATTCTTTGCAGGGAGTCAGTAGACAATGTCAAGCTAAAACTTTCTTTTGGGTTGGTCTTAGAATTTAGTGAAGTCCTCTATCTACCTTCCATGAATAGGAACTTAATTTCAGCTTCTAAATTAGTTCAACTAGGTTTTTATTTTTATTTTTATAGATGATGAAAGTGTAAAACTCTTTCACAAGAATAAATTTGATGCTCTGCTATTGGCATTGCTTTACTTAAGAATGACTTGTGGCAGCTTGAGTGTTCAATTGTTGACGAATGTTTTAATGTTTTATCACATTGGTTTGTGAAGAATGCTCTCCAATGAAAAATCCTTAATGTTAAATTAAGGTGGTTGGTGTGAGTGGTTCGGCACTCTCATTCCTTAAGAGAGGTCAATGGTTCGATCCCTGCTCTCGTATGGAGTCACCACTTTGACCAGCACTTTACCCCTTACGGGCCGACCCGATGTGAGCGAGAATTAGTCTGGGTTGTGGTTAAGGCTTAAATATGCTACCCATAGTTGGGGCCCATCCAAGACCACCTCGTGGTTCAAACCAAAAAAAAAAATCCTTAATGTTTTGACATAAAAGATTGGGGAATATATCTAAAGAAAGAATCATTTTAACAAAAACAAAGGTGTTGTCAAACCTTGACTTTAGGGAGATCACATTATAAATTGTGACACATTATGTATCAGTAGGGACCAATCCAACCATAGGCTAACCTGGACTTTTATTATTTTCCAGCCCAAAGTCACATGTAGCCCACCCTACAGCCTACCCCACTTCACGCATCAGCCCTTTTTACAATTTTCTTTCCTCAATTTATTGTTACTGACATTTGAGGATTTTTTAAGGTTCAAGAAGTATAAATTAGGGATTTTCAATTTAGTGTTATGAATTATCAATTAGGATTTGCAATTAGATTTTGTACATAAGGTAAATTTAGCCCACTTCATTTTGAAATCCTAGATCTGTCCCTATGTATCAGCATTTCTAATAAAAGTGGGGCCTACTTATATTGGTGAAGCCTACCTCTATTAGACCATCTAAGGTGCAAGCAAGCAGGACTCAAAATTTGAAATTTCGGGTCCAAAAAACCCCAATGCCCATAAAGGGCCATGCCATTTAATCAACATATTATATTTTCATTTAGCACCTTCAAAACAATGGTTATATTTTTTATTATTTGTTTTTGTCCAGGTAACGTAAATTTGGCCTCATTGCTAGGAGAAAATGTGGGCTTTGTGTTTAGTCATGACATTAAGTTGGATTAGGGTTATAGTGTACCAATCAACGTTGGATATGTCATACAAGAATGTATGGAAGAAAGACTAATTATTGGTTGTTGCAATTGATTTGTTTGTTTCCACATTGATGTTGATTCTCTTGATCCCAATTGTCAACATGCCAATAAGATAATTAAATACTATATCAAATGAAGACAATTTTTGCTTTATATATATATATACACTTTTCAATCATTTAGTTGGAGCATCATGCTTCCGATAACTTATTGAAGTCTCCATCTCTGTGATGTAATTTTCCTTCTTTTATCATTGAAAATTTGCTTAAATTGTCAACAATTAATATTCCGTTCTATGTGGTCTAAATTCAATTCAACATCCCGTCCCGAAAATTCATTTTTTGCTTCTGAATTTCTATGTGAAAGTATAATTTTGTCCTTGGAAATAGGGGACGAGTTCTGGTCCCCACACAATTTTGCATTTCGGTCAATATTTGTTCGAGATGAGTTTTGATAAACTTCTTCGCATCCATTTCATAGAGCTCACTCTTACGAGTTTGTAGACACTTATTACGCGTGAATTAGAGCTTTAACGAGGATGTTGTGGTCAATGGAAGTCCATAGTAATTTCGGACAGTCCAAAGTAAAATCAAAAGAAAAAAAAAATAGAAAAAAGCTTTATAAAATTTATAATTAAAAAAAACCTAGCCCCTTCCCCACAGACCCATCCCACCACCTGACCAAGACATCCACAGTGCTCCGGGTTCCTTTCCTATATTTTCCATGCAACCCACCCTAATCCCCAAATTTCTCGACCAAACACCAATTAATCATCCGCAAAAGCGAAAGAAATTCGAGGAATGAAGAATGTACATAACCAGTGGCTGAGGATAAAGTTGGGGACAATAATCGCAGCCTTGGACTTCAAGTTAGTGAAAACCGTTGCTACTTTGAACTGAAGTACTAATTCGGATTCGGATTCGGGTTCTTAGAGTTGGAGTTTCCTTTGGTGGAGTCTTGGTCGACAGCGATGGCGTCGGCTTGCGTCTCGTAGGTTATAAGAGAGGGAGATTCAGGGAATGAGAGAAGCTTCTAGTTGTGGTGCGACGGGGAGGGAGAGAAGCTTATAGCAGGGGTGGGTGTTGGAACTTGGGTGGGAGCGTTGGTGGGTTTTTTAAAAAAAAATTTCTATTTCATTTTTCTAATTTCTAAATATTTTAGATAGTAAAAAAAATCAAATAGTAACTCACGTGGATGACGGAATTTTTTGAACGAAAAAGTGGATGAAATTTGAAAAATTTAACTACATGGTTGAAATTGGCAATATTTTTTAATACGAGGACTAAATTGGCTGATTTTTTAGTTCATGAGTTATATTCGATTAGGATCATAATTCAGGGGACAAAACGGTTGAAATCCTATTTATAAGAAATAATTAGTTAATGTCACATTGTGATTTGCAGAAATTTTTTAAGGACATAGCCAAGCAAATGTTCATTGTTGAATGTATGGCTGTGATTGTTAGTAGAGCAATAATGAAGATATTAATCATGGTTTCAGTCGTGTCCTTTCTGTTAAAAAAAAAAAAAAAAAAAAGCCAGCCCAGTGAAAGCACACGTCACCCTCTCTCTCTCTCTCTCTCTCTCTCTCTCTGCCTGAAGATTTCAGAAAAGGGCCGGCGACCCGGGCTTTTCCACCTTCACGAAAAAGCTTCGCCGCCACCTCCTCTACCAAACCCACCCCACCATCGGCCCGGAACACCACCACAGAAGGCGGCAGAACGCTCGAAAATAGGCGGAGTCGCGCCACCTTTGCCGCCGGTGTCGAGGTTGTTTCCGGCCAATTTCGGTCACCTTTGTCCGCGATCTTTCTTGCAAAAAGTAGATCTCGTCCTCCTCTATCGTTCCCTTTGAAGACCCTATCCAGGTAAGGTGATTTAATTCATAACTTAGGCCTTTAATTGTTGATTAGTATAGTTTTAGTCTATTCCATATCCAGTTCAAAATTTTCATCCCACTGTTTAAAGTTTTCTGCTTTGTTGGCCCGCTCAGTAGACCAGCTTTATCACATTTTGCTTTCTTGAGTCTCAAAGTAGTTTAGAAAACATGTTAGCAAGGAGAAATCTGGTAATTGTTGTCCTGTTTCCATTCTTTTGCTTGTAGCAGATTATCTGATCAATGATGCTCATCAGAGTTGTTGGTGCTCTTTCTTTTATGATTTTTCCCCTTGTATTTTTATCTTGATTGGTTTTGATTAAAATGAATGCCTGTTTCCACTGAGGAAGTTGGTTGGATTGATTTGGATTTGGATTTGGAGATCATAAATCTGAATCTTGTGGTTGGACTCAAATCTTAACAAGAGGATTTGCATTTGCCCAAGAAATTGAATTCCTAAATTAAATTAGGAATTTTACATGTAACACTGATTTGCTCTCCACCACTGATTGTGTTTTGTTGCAAATTGTAACAGTTGTGTGTATTGAATACCTGGATACATAATCATAGAAGAATTGTCAGAAGGATTCTTGGATTGCAATGGCAGCTTCTGCAAAGACTCTAACTGCTGAAGGCCATACTTCAAATGGAGAGTGGACAGTTGTTTCATCTCGTCGTGGAAGACAAAGAAGAAATCCTCCAAAAATTACAATTCGAGTACAGAAGCAACCATCGCCTTGGGCTCCAACTGATCTCGAAATCAATTTCGCCCGAGAATCAAAATTGATGCAGAAGATGCAGATCTGTATGAAGAAATTGGAGATGTCTCAATTCTTTCTTAATTTACTGGATGAAATCCAAACTCCAGAAATGATGAATTACTTCCATAGGGTTTTGAGCTCGGAGTTGAAGATGAAGATGGTTATATATGGCATAGGCAGCATCGAATCATATGAATCCCCTCGGTTGCAGTTGACCCTTGCCATCTTGCTGAAGAGAAAGTTCAATTGGATTGGAGACATAGAGGTCTTTGATCCCATTCTTTCTGCCACAGAATCTCGGGTTTTGGAAGCTCTCGAATGCTCTGTGTTGTCGATAAATGAACAAGGTCGGCGTCAGGCTGAGAAACCAACAATGTTCTTCATGCCACATTGTGAGGCAGAGCTATATGATAATCTTCTACAAGCAAATTGGGAAGCGCGGCTTTTGAATTGTACAGTATTGTTTGGGAATAGCTTTGAGACATATGAGCAGCATCTATCAGAGTACAAGAACTCAGCTATTGTTGATTCGACAAGGCATATCTTGGCTGTTCGAAAATTCACAGATGAGTTTAGGATCAAGACGATTTCAGATACTTATTTCAGTGCCTTTCATGATTCGAGTTGGCATTTTTTCAGGCCTGTCCTTGAGACAGAGCTGCAGTTGAGCAATTTGTAAATGTGAGTTGTTGAGAAATTTCCTGATGATTGAAACGTATTATCATTTTTAGTACTCCATGTCCTATTGCAAAAGTTGTTATTATGAGCCTCAAAAGGCCTCCGTTTTTGCAAATGGTATAATTACTCATTACTTTTTGCCCTTTTAGTTGGTTTTTTTGATCAAGTTTCGGGCAGGATCAAAACCCACAGAAATCCAGGAAAGTTACAACAATGAAAACCAAGCTAGAAGAAGAAGACAAAGCATTAGAATGATGGGGGGAAGGTGAAAATATACAGACAGACCCAATACTAAAGTGAAAAGGAAATCTCTATCTCTAATTAAGGCCAAACTGAGTCGACAGAAACCCTAGACTCTAGCTGCTGCAGGAGATCTTCCACAGCTACCATCACCTCATTTTCTTGTGCTTGGCCATTGCATTTGTAGTTGCTTCCATTTCTGGTCGGTGGGTTTATGGCAGTAGAAGAATTAGAACAAGAAGAAGGAGGAAGTGTTGCCCACCACAAATTACTTGGATCTGTGTTATGGGGCCGCCCTCCAAGTACAGACAAGAGAAGAACAAGAGAAGCCATAGAAAATTTGATGGAATTGAGAGAGAAAGAAGAAGGCAAGGGAATTGATGCAGTTGAAGTTGAAGTTGAAGATAGCGAGATGACTTGTTTAGGGTTTTATATAAACTAGTATGCGGGGTGGCGGGGGGGCCGCATGAGAAGAAGGTTAAAGAGCCGCTGCTTTTGTTGTTAGATTAGACCCAATGTTTGTTTGGTCGACAGGAAGAGGAGAAAACAAGGGATGCCCACTTCCCCAAAGCCGCTAATTTTTCAGGTGACTGAATGCTAGCCATGGATGAGTGGAGCCCACGGAGATCAAAGGCTGGCATTCAACCATGATGATAGCGTCTAATTTTTCAACAGCTGGTGGTGGATAGTTAGTCGCTGTATTAAATTTTGGGTCTTTGTTGTTGAACTAGATGGCATCCAACTGTTGCAGCTAGTGGTACTACTTGTATTCTATGTGCGTTATTTATTGTTGTACTCAACCCGTCACCTACTATATTTAAAAATAAAAAAATTAATAAAAAATTAAGTACAATTACAAAGAGGATCTTCTCCCGATGATATATCACCATAATTGTCAAATTTTAATCTAACCAAGTGCTAGAATGCTAGCGTCCAATGGAGAGCTTGCAATAGTTTTCATTTTCTTCTATTCTTAATCTTAGGGCTCGTTTAGGAGTGATTATGGATAAGTCATAATCAAACCTTTGTCAACACTTGGAATAAAGAGAAATGGTTTTTTCCTCACAATAAAACTCAAGATCATTACTTACGAAATCAATATCCATTTATAAGTGGTGTCATGTGATTTCAATTCGGTGAATCTCAGCCTTGTGGTTATGTTTGGTATCAATTCTAAGTCATATTTCATGGATCCTTAGCCTCTACATTTAGAGACACAAACACTGTTTCTCAGCTCCGGTGTGCCATCACCAGTGAACCATCTACGTATTTATATCGACAGTCAAAGGCTAGATAAGAGAGCCACTTGAATTCAATTATGCATGGAAAACAACTAAACACAGACAAGACAATGACGAAAGTAAGTCTCTAGTGTACAACCACCGTGTGGAATTGGTGATGGCTCTTCTGCCACTACCTGCCCAGAGTACATGCTTCATACAATTCATCGTCGGAAGCATCCCAAGATCCATCCTCATGACACAACGCAATCAATCCCATCATGCTCTGCAACAAAACGTTTAACAGATTTCTTACTACAGAAAGCAGCAAAACCACAGCAGCTATGAAATGCCAGAAGAATTAACTGGTGGACAGGATATAAACTTGAAACACAGGCAGAATCATTGAACGAACAATACTAAAACAAGATTTATAGCAGCTCATCAACATTTTTATTGTGTCCCGTCTTTTTTGTTTTCTTCTTTTTAATTCCCAGATTTACATAACTTGGCAAAACACTTGAAATATCCATTTTCACATCCTTGACTACGATAGGGCCTCCTTTTCCCACCAAAAGCATCTCCCACCACAGCAGATGCTTTGTTAATAATAGCAGCCAAAAAAATACATTGCTCCTCTGGTCCGTGGAGATCCCTATGATTAATGTAAATACTCCGAAGGGACATATGTCATATACCACAAAGGAACAAATGCCACTCCGGAGTGACAAATGGTGCACAAACTTCCCCATCCTTATACAGGATAAAAAAATTACATTTAATAATTCCATGATCACATGCCAAGCTCAAAAAAAACTATTTCAAGATTTTCAATTCATACATTGAGATAAAACCTTCTTTTCCCAAATGTTTGCAGAGACACTTTCCAAGTCCAATCAACTAAACTATGAAGCAGATAACTGAATTCAAAGCATATAAAACAATTGAGAAATTCAATTCTAAACTTTTTCCACTAACGACCAAAGTTCAGAATAATCCTAAAACAATTCAAAAAGATTATAATGAGATCAAACTATACGAAAATAAATCCCCACCCACCACCATACAGTACACCCATGAGTTATTAAAATGAACTAGGACATAACACATGCACTACTTTCCAAATTAACGTGCAAATTTATGAAATGAAATTAGCGCAAAGTCACTAAACTCTAAATCATACTTTAAATTATATAATCATATTCCCCAGCCTTAGAGTTGAAACTTAGAACCCTCTTTCAGTCCACTCACTTAAATCATAAATAACCTTTAGTTGTTAAGATGAGGGAGAGATAACTAAAACAAAATAAAAAGCTTTGAGGACACTGAAACAATTTTGATATAATAAAACTCAAACAATTTGAATAAAATAAACTAAAATTCCCCTGTGCTTATATAACTTTTTGAATGGAAAAGTGAATAGGGAAAAGGGGTTTAAGGAAAATATTGATTTGAACGATGTTCGAATGTGAGCATCCAACTCAAACCAAATTGGCAATGGGTGAGGAGGCCTAAGATCAATTATACTCTTATGAATTTGCACTTCAAAGAACTTAAACAATGTCACACATGCTTCAGCTACCACAGAGTTCACAAAGAAATTATAAATTTTTATAGCTGTTACAAATATAACCACAAATTAAGAGAGCTTCGCCAAGGCTATCAAAGTAATGCTAGCTTTGCGAAACAATCACATCAAAATATTCTGAAAAGAATATAAAAAAATACATTGATGTTACACAAACAAAGAAGATGTTACGTTCTCTTGATTTACCAAAACATTATATAAAGCAAATAAATAACAGAGAAGAAAACAAAGATATTTGAGATGAACATAAAGATAAGGATGTCAAAGATGAATACAAAGATATCACCATAAGAATTCAAACTCTCACTATCTTATCAAGTGAAGGGAAAAGCAGATCTTACCATATTGTTGGATGCTTAGGAATACGAAAGTTGATCGATTGTAGCAATTGAGTGCCGTACCAACCGCACAGCAGACCCAGAATAGGCAGGTAGCCCAGTCCGCCATAATATGAAATTCAGAAAATAGGCATGATAAAAATGAATTGTGACAGGACTCTTTGGGCTTTATTTTCTTTTTTGTTTACAGGAATGAAGAAAAGTATTTATCAAAATTTATAGAGGAAAATATTGGAGAGTGCATTTAGAAAACAATATTGTAGGCAAATCACCCGAGAGCTGCATCTTCCAACATATCAACGTCATACAATGAGGTTAGTTCTGTTTCACCAAGTTCTTCACAAATCTCGTGATCACAAGCATCTTCGACATATCCGGATTGCTTCATCTGTTCAATGAGCAACTTCAAAAGATAATGTATTTCCTTGCATTGAGTATGCCTTTTATCTTTCACCATGAAAACATGCACACGACCCTGTATCTCAATCCAACTGCAACCTGGCTGCTTGATAACTCCCCGTTGCCTCATCAGCTTTCTTATTGTTACAACATCACCCCATCTCCCGAGCTCGGCGTACATGTTTGACAGAAGAACATAAGGTCCAGAGTTCCTAGGTTCAATATCTAAGAGCTTCTCAGCCACATACTTGCCTAAGGTAATGTTACGATGAACTTTACAAGCACCAAGCAAAGACCCCCAAATAACAGCATCAGGTTGCATTGGCATGACCTCTATTAAATGTTTGGCTTCTTCAAGGCAACCAGCTCGACCAAGTAGATCAACCATACATGTATAATGGTCCTTCAATGGTACCAAACCATGCTCTTCACTCATAGAGTAAAAATATTCTTTTCCTTCATCAACCAACCCTGCGTGGCTACAAGCGCATAGAACACCAATCATAGTGACATGGTCAGGTTGCTCCCCAGATGCCAACATTTGTCTAAATATTTCGAGAGCTTCAGTCCCATAACCATTTTGTGCATACCCCACAATCATGGCATTCCAGGAGACATAATCCCTTTGCAACATACTTTTAAACACCCGACATCCATCTTCAATGGATCCACATTTCATGTACATATCCATTAGAGAATTTCCCACAAAAATATCAGGCTCTTCCCCAACCTGGAACTTAAATCCGTGTTTCAATAAGTGTACATGAGCCTGCCTGCCAAGCTGCAGATCAACTAGACTTGCACAAGCATTGAGTAGATTCCCAAATGTATAGTGGGTTGGCAAAACAGACTCCCTCTTCAGGAGGAGAAACAGTCCAACAGCCTCTTCATTTTCCCCATTTTGTGTGTACCCTGCAATAAGTGCATTCCAAGAGACTATATTCCTTTCCATCATCTTTGCAAACATCAATCTTGCAGCTTTTACACTTGCCGCTTTTGCATATCCACTTACCATTGATGTTTCGGAGACAACATTTCTAACAGGCATCCCATCAAAAATCCATCTGGCTTGCTTTACTCTATTGCATTTTGCATACATATCAACCAATGCATTGCCTAAAACAAGATCATCCCTGTATTTGTCACATTTTATGACACGAGCATATATTTGCTGACCTTCCTTTATTGCAGACAAGCTTGCACATGCACTTACCACACTGGCTAAAGTTAACTCATCTGGTTTGAACCCACCATCCATCATCCTCACAAAAACTTCTAGGGCTTCACTTGCTGGACCATTCTGCTCATAACAAGTAATCAAACTGTTCCAAGAAACTGTATTCCGGTCACTCATCCAATCAAAGACTCTTTGTGCAGAGGCAACACTCCCGCATTTAGAGTACATATCAATAAGTGCAGATCCCATATAAACATCGGACGAGTAACATGACTTAGCAATAAAAGCATGAATTTGGACACCCATTTTCAACTTTCTCAAACCTGCACAAGCACTAAGAGCACTACCGAACGAGTATTCATTAAGCACAAAATCCTCCACATGCAATTTGACAAAGTACTCCAAAGCTTCTTCAAAGCGGTCATGCTGGGCAAACCCTGATACCATTGAATTCCATGAGCACTGGTCAGGCTCAGGCATTAACCTAAAAATCTGCACAGCCTCATCAATAAAACCCAACTTCGTTAATGTACTTATGATGGAGTTCCAAGTGAAAGTGTTCCTTTGAGGCATTTTATCAAACAATTTAC